ATGGCACCTAACAACAACAACAACAACAACTCTGTCCCCAGAGATTCCAGTTTAACTGTTAAAAGCATCTCCACATCATTGTAATATACAGTCAGGGTAGATAACTGTTGTATTATCATTCATTTCTGATAAGACTACCTCATGAGCATTATAAAGCATTTGAAAAATAAGGAAATTTTTGTAAGGAAAGGAAAATTAATTTCAAATACATTCCCATAGACATCACCTTTTAGGACCCTTCTGGTAGCATAATAGTTACGAATTGGGCTGTGAACCGTAAGGTCAGCTGTTCAAAACTACCAGCTGTTCTGTGGAAGAAAGATGAGGCTTTCTGCTGCCATAAAGATTTACAGCCTCGGAAATCCTGTACAGGGTCGCTATGAGTTGGACTCAACTCCATGGCACATAACCACCAACCACTATATCGTCTGGAGTCCTGGTCTGGCACTGTGGGTTAATGCATTGGACTACAAGGTCGGTTTGAGCTGCAAGGTCAGCAGTTCAAGCTCACCAGCTGCTCCTTGGAAACCCTATACAGAGTTGCTATGAGTTGGAACTGATTCAACGGCACTTAACGCCTACAACAATTGTATTGTGTGAGGTCTTGGTGTGATGTTGTATGATAAGCACTGGACTGGTCACCACAAGATCTGTGGTAAAACCCACCAGCCATTCTTCACAAACCCTACACAGAGTCACTATAAGTTGGAACAGACACATCAGAAAACAGCAAGTATATTGTCAAGTGACACTTTTTAAACAAATGTATATACATTGTCTGTTACCCGATTTCTGCCTGGCTATAGACATTTAGTTGGAGAAATAGAGGTGGTAGTGAGGTATCATCTTTCAGTAGCTTTCAAAAGATCCAGAAAGTACTAGATGCACGTTGTAATTGTTCTTGAAATGCCAGGTGTAGTTATTTTTTTAATGCCCTTCCCTCCCCAAGTACAGGGTCACTGTGAGTCAGAACTGACTCCATGGCACATCACCACCACCACCAAGGATAATTCTTAAAGTCAGATGCAGAGACTTCACCTTAATTTTTTGGTTCTGATCATTATGCATTCTCACATGGACTGTTTATTTTTGACTATTTTTAGGTAGAATAGAAGAAGACTTCTTAAATTCAGTTTAATCTTTTAAGACTCAAGATGATCTGGTAGTACTGTGGGTTAGGTCTTGTACGGGTCAGCAGTTCAAACCCACCAGCTACTTTCTGCTCCTTTAAAGATTTACTGTCTCAGAACATTATGTTGTTGTTAAGTGCCATCAAGCTGATTCTGACTCATAGCGACTTGTATAGGGTTTCTGAGGAGCAGCTGGTGAGTTTGAACTGCCAACCCTGCAGGTTAAACTGATTTTGCAGTCCATTGCAAATCTATAGCCCAACACCAGGAGGCATTATAAGTCAGAATTGAATCGATTGCAGTGTGTTTGGTTAAGTTCAGTTTAATCATTTAAGACCCAAGGTGATCTATTATACTGTCACACACACAAAAAAACAACACTCTAAATGTGTGTATTGCCTAACATATACTTTCTAGAATACTCTTTAACAAAAATAGAGTTGTTTTGTATCTTTGTTTTTCCTCTATGTAAAGATATGCATGCTGACATTTGCAGGTTCTGAAAGATATATTGTTAAACAGTTAAATGATATATGTTAAACAGTTAATTATTTCTGAGCAATGTGCTTCCCAGATGAATTTGTATTTCTTGAAAGGATTTAGTTTAGTGGGTTGTTTTTTGTTTTTTTTTTCTTTTTTGGTAAGGATTGTATAGTAGCCGGAAAAATATTACCATTTCATGGGAAAAACAAAATAAGCAGCAGGAGTGTTGCGAAAGTATCTCCCTCCCTTTTTTAGAGTGTGTCCCCACTTTATAAATTTCAGATGCAGAGTTGAGAGACAATCTATGTTTTGGGTGTCTTTGAGGGATGGGTTTTTTTTTAATTTGTACAAGCTTTTTCTGCTAAGAATATCTAGAGAAAATTTGAAAAAACCGAAAATGTGAAAAATAATTACTGAATATATACTCCCAGAAATACTTGCTTTTAATACTATTTATTTTTTCATGTCAGCAATTATTTAATAATGTATTTTAATATCTATGGCTCTGTACTTATTCACTAGCTTTTTCAAACACTGAAAGTTTGATTCTCCATGTGTTTCTGAGTCTTGATTCATTCTTTAAGGAGAGATTAAGAAGTTACCACTAAGACATCTAGCTGATGGCTGTGTCCTTTTTAGGGCTTTGTGTGTGATCTCTGTGTGTGGTGCTATAGGATAAGCACTGGAGTACTGTCCACAAAGTCGGCAGTTCAAACCCACCAGCCGCTTCTCAAGAAACCTTCTACAGGTCGCTGTGAGTTGACTCAATTGCACTTAATAGCAACAACAACAACAAAGGCTTTGTGTAGTGTTTTGAATCAAGGCCAATATTATGGGAGATAGACATAGGATTATCAAAACATTTTGTAAGACATATTGAAGGGCAGATTTATGTGACAATTATAGAAGTCTTGGCTGAGTTTTATCAGTTAGTTTGTGTCAGATTGGTCATGATATCTCATAGACAAAGTGACTCGTAAGAAAGAGCTCAATAAATACTAAGATTTGCAGAATAGTGGCAAATGGGGAAAAAAACTAAAGGTGGGAATTAGAAAAGGCAGAATATTAAATGAGTTGAATGTTTTAGACAGCTAAAGGAAGGAAATCCAATCCATTTTCAAGAAAAAAACAAAAACAAAAACCGAACAGACTACTCTTAGTTGGAGAGACTACATTTTGTGGATGTTTTTAAGATTTGGAAAATGGAGGATAGCTGGACCAAAATCTAAGTGCAATATGTGAAACATATTTACTGATATTCGTTAAGATTTATGTGTAATTGGTTTCCTAATAAAATAACTGTGACGTTGGCATGGACTGAGAAATAGAGAAAATGCTTTTCTTGTGTCTGTGTAAAAAAAAAAACAAAAAAGCAAACAAACACACACAAAACTCCCAAATTTCCATCTTTTGCAGGTTTCCTTACCTATATTCTATTGCTTACTTCCCAACACTTTTTATCCATTTTCTGGCTGGAGTTTTGCTTCATATAAAATGTAAAATGTCTTTCTGGTTACATAATTGCTATAACGATTAAATTTTTATTTGGGTTTTTAGAAATTGTAACTGCAAATACTTAAAAATGTATTTTTACCAACTTTAAAAAAACATTATATTACCTTATGAAAGTAACCATACATAGCCTTACAGTTTGGGGAAAAATTAATAGAAACTAACCATTATTCTCACTCTAGCACTATTGGTATGTTCTGTTTGACTTTCTTTCCATAATTTGACCTTTTTTCTTTTTTTTAAGTTATGATTGTGAATTGAGTGATAGTTTACATGGGAGAACATCAGTTTTACATTCATCGTTTCATTTCAATGATTACAATCCCCTCTGTGCATCATCATTCAACAGTATTTGCTTCTGTTTCCTCTTTTTTTTTCAGGGGGGTTGTGTCCACAATAATACTCAGGAAAATAACAATCATTTAAACAATCAAAGGGCACATTCTGCAAGCCTGCCTCCTGGCCGCCAGCACTCTGTCCCTCTCTTTCCATGAGTGTAGAGTCCTCAGCTACTCTCTGTCTCCATGTCCTCATCTTTGCCTCCATCTCTGGTGTCCCTGCTTCTCTGGATAGGGTCCTGCATTCTGCTCGTGCTCTTCTCCCTTCTTGATCCTAGGGTCCTCTGTTTCTGGACTACCCCGTTTTTGTTACAAAACTTCTACCTGTACAGTTGTGACAGTTGCATATAGTCATGATAACAGTTACTCACTACTGGATTAAAATGTTATCCCCATCTCTTTTCAACAGACCTGTCTAGACAAGATGAAAACTATTCTGTGGGGACTCTTATCTTCCCCTGCACACTCTTAAACTGAACTCCCTCTTGAAACCTTGTAAGCCAGTCACTTTGTGCCTTTATCGCCCCCTCATTTTAGGTAGACTCCTTCCCTCTCATTTGATACTTTGAGCTACTACATCCATAAGTATAGGTCAAGTTCATCAAATTGTAGCAATTTACACTTGTTTCCTTTATAAAAAATTAAAAAAAATTTTTTTTCCTGTAGTCGAGTTCTGATTATCAAGCCATTGAGGTTCGGGCAAATGGGTATTATCTGCAAGTTTGGATGTTCTTCTGCGTCTCCCCTTACTTCACTGTCAGCTCTAGCCCTCCGTGACTATGTCCGTGTCCATGGGCTTATATAAACTGTTTTTTTTTAATATGGGCTTTGAACTTCAGTCCTTAAAAAAATCATTTTCCCATAATGCCTGTGGTTCATGACTGTGTATAAAGCACCTGGATGGGCACTGTGCAGTGCCAGTGGTACCTTTGCATGGTAGGTAATAAAATCCCCATTTGACAGATGAGGAAACTGAAGTTTACAGGAATTAAAGTAAATTGCCAGAAGTCACACAGCTGGTAAATTATGGGATTACATTGAAGCCACCTCTGTCTTTCCAGCCTGGGCTGTAGAAGGTACTAGTGATATTCTTTAATACTTGGGAAGTATTGTAGAGTTGGTTCCAACTCATGACCCTGTAAGCACATTCCTAATAGTTGGTAGCCCTCTGGGCTGTTAGTCCTTAAATCCGGAGACACTGTTCTGAATAGAATTGTTATCTTGGCTACCAGATAGGGGACTTTTCTGGGCCATGGTAACTGGACACCAGAGAGGCCTCAGCACTTTAACGTTCATATGTTTTAAAATACTTTTCTCAGCACAATCACTGCTCACTAGTTGAGTGACTCTGGGTTACTTTACCTCTTTAAGCTTCATTGTCCTCATCTGTAAAATAGGATCAATAATAATATTTACCTCAGTTGGTTTTTCTAGGGATTAAATGATCATTTTACGTTTGTTTGCCTATGTGATTTCTACAAACTGATATTAAAAGTGCAAATGCTATAATGAAAATCCTTTTCCATTGTAGGTCTTCTTGAATTTTCTTTGGGGAAATTTAGATACTTCAAGCTCAGCAGGCCCTTTCCAGTGGAGGCTGTTTTGTATCATATTTCCAGCAATGCAACTTTCCTTATTTTCCAAATACATTCACAGTATCAGAACACAACAGTGTCTCTTTCTGAGGTAAATACAAAGAATTGTAATTGTCTAAAACATTCAAATATATTGCATATATTTGGGTCTTGTATTTGGTGTAAGCATTAGAATTTGTCTATGTTTAAGACTTTGGTCTTTTTTTTTTTTTTTTTTAATCAAGATTGGGTCTTATCAAGTTAGAGATTGAGATTGGCCAAGGGTATCTTGGGCCTTCCTTGAATATAGTAGCCCTTGACTTAAAGTGGGATGGCAGTGCTGAGTTTGAGGGAGGTTGCCCTGTGCCAAATATGTCCTATCTGAAATTAAGCTTTCCTTATTATTTCCTATTATTTTTTCTTACTCTAGAGGGTCTTTGATGATTTTTGCCTGAGGATACATTTAATGGTGGGTGTCCATTGTTGTCCAACTATTTAGTGTTGAATTTTACTTTCTTATTGGGGGGAGTTTTTCATGAAAATAATGGTAACATTTTTATACATTCTAACACTGTGCTGTACTTCTGGTAGTGTTAAGGGCTTCATAAGGAGGTCATGACAAAACCCTTTAACTTCAATCTAAGCTTTGGGAAAAAATTTAAATGCTCTGGATTAGCTAAGGCTATTTATGTTAGCCTTTTACAGATCTTTACATTTAGCCCACATGACCCTTTTAATAATTAATAAATAAATTTCACTCTGTGAAGCTGGACTTCTTTTTATTTGTCTAAGCCCACCATGTAATATTCTGGAATTCAGTAAACAAGACTGTCTTGACCAGTTAATGTATAGTTGTATAGTGTTTGGTCATACTAACTTTAAAAGTAAATATGTTGTATTTAAAACATTTTTGCCTTTCCATTCTACCTCAGAGGCTTTCGACTTTTGTGTAGATGTATGTGTCTTGTGGGTATGTGTGGTCTCAATACTTGTGCCATGGTGGGTTCATATTGTTGACCTTTCTGTTAGTAGCCCAACACTTTAACCACTGTGCCACCTGGGTCCCTAATATTTGACATAAAAGAACACACCAAATTCACTGCCGTTGAGTGGGTTCTAACTTTGTAGCGACCCTTTATAGGGTTTCCAAGGCATCAAGTCTTTATGGGAGCAGAAAGTCTTAACTTTTTCCTATGAGTAATGTGTCAAGTGTTTTGTTCTGTTGTACATGGGGTCGGTGTGAGTCGAAACTCACTCAGTGGCGCTGAACACACACACTTGACATGTTGTTGTTGTTAAGTGCCATCGAGTCAGTTCTGACCCATAGAAACCCTGTATAGGGTTTCCAACGAGCAACTGGTGAGCTTAAACTGACACATTAACTCACAGTGCCATGTTGTTGTTTGTTGTTATGTGCCGTGGAGTTGGTTCCAACTCATAGCAACCCTGTACAGGGTTTCCGAGGCTGTAAATCTTTACGGGAGCAGAAAGCCTCATCTTTCTCCCGTGGAACAGCTGGTAGTTTCGAACTGCTGACCTTGTCAGTCTTAATTCTGCTAATAGGGAAGCTTGGGAATTTCACTGTGCATCTAATATTCCTGACCACAGATTGTGTTCATTCTTCTAGGTGTTATGCCTAGTTGCACACATATAGACTAAGTGAAAGGAATTATTTCATTATCTGAGGAAGGTCTTTTTTTTTTTTTTTTTCCTCCCCTTTTAAATTTGAGAAGGCATGCATATTCGATCCACTCTGAAATTAAAACACTTGCTAAACTCTCTATTCATGGCGACTTTTTCTTTTGGTCCTAATTGCAGACTTTCCTTCCTAATACCATGGGAACTGGCACTGACAAAGGACTGGTTTTCATTCTGAGACCAGAGCAAAGCATGTGCATTTGGCACTTGGCTGCTGCTGATTCTGAGCCTGTCCAAAGTATGGCTATTCCGCTCTCCTACTCAGAAAGAGGTAACCTTCTTTATTTGACTCTATTACTCTTCAGAAGAATGAATGATAAGGGAGCTTGTTGATGAAATCTCAGAACTGTAACAAAAATTGCTTGTTATAAGTACAATGTGAACCAAATTTTAATAGCAAGGGGCTCAGAGAATTAACATGATGTTTGAAAGACTAGGTAGTGTCTGAGAGAATACATTTATTCCTTCTCAAAACATTTAAGGAACCCTTGGAAAAGCAGTAATAGACAAGGCATAGTCCTTAACCCTTTAGTTGGCTGTTCTAGACAGAGGGAAGAGTAAGCTTAATGTCTTGAAGGTATGGAAGAAGAATGGTAAATTGGGAGAAAGATGAGTAGTAGATGTGGTTGGAACCAGAGTGTGATGAGCTTTATGTACTATTTGATGTTTGTACTCTGTTCTGTGGAGTCCAGGTGTGGCGCTGTGGGCTAATGCATCAGATTGCAAAGTCATTTGACTGCAAGGTTGGGAGTTCAAGCTCACCAGCTGCTCCTCTGAACCCTATACAGGGTCTCTGTGGGTCGGAATCGACTCGACAGCACTTAACAACAACAACAACTCTGTTCTGTAAGCTCCAGAAATATTGTTAAGTGTTGTCAAGTAGGTTCCAGCTCATAGTGACTCTGTAAAGGGGTTTTGAAGCTGTAAATCTCTGTGGGAGTAGAAAGCATCTTCTGTTTCCCATAGAGCAGCTGGTGGGCTTGAACCTCTGACCATTAGTAGTTCAGTGTGATCCTACAGAGCCACAGCGCTCCCCAGAGGAAGCATTGAGAATTTTTAAGCAGAAGAGTGATGTAGTCTGTTTTATGTATTAGAAAGCAAACTCGTGGAGACAGTCTAGCTGAATCAGACATATTAGCACACCTTTCAGAGGTGTAAGTGAGAAATGAGGATCCTGAACCACAAGAGGGGAGATAGAAAAAAAGTTAGAATTGCTGAGAAACAGTGGCCAGTTATGGATTATAAGAGGGTGAGACTTGGGTTTCCTATTTGGGCAGCTGGGAGATAGTGAAGCAAAACAGATGTAGGAAGTGGGATATTGTGGGTGGTGGTAAATGCTTTGGAAAGTGGGATGGAAGATAGCAATTTCATCTTAGGACACAATGAATCTGAGATTCATGTTGGACATCCAAATGGAAATGTTAAGGAAAGAATATTCCGTCTCTAGGAAAATGGTACTTACTTGGTGAAAAACTATAGTATCTTCAAGCTTCTATCAAAACACAATGTACAAAGCACAATGATGAGCACTGGAGGAGCTTCAGTTAGAATGCATGTAATTTTCTAGGGTTCAGTAAATACTTGGGAATGCAGGAAAAGGGAAGTCTGAAGGAAGAGCACAAAATTTTGAAGACAGTTCCACATGACATTGAATGCAATGCCTGCATTGCATACCTCCATTCCACATCTGGTCGGGGAAGGTCAACCATGAGAAATTCAACAGATTGTGAAGACTAAGACCCAGCTGTGGGCATGATTGTATGAAGTTGTGATCTCAAAAAGTTTTATATTGATTTACCCTGTTCTGTCTTAATCTCAACTTCTCCATCTGAGTGCATCGTACAGTACATATACAGTTCATGGGGAAGTGAGCTAATATCAATGGTTCCATTAAATTTGACCATGCATAAAAAGGTCATGAATGGGATTTCTAATGAGAAAAGGAGAGTGGCATTAGCCACATTGTAAATGTAATTGAAGTATCCAAATTTTATTTTGTTTTAATTAAACACCCAAGTGCAATTCCCATAAAATCTTGGGTGTCTTGCAGTCTTTTGTTTTTGCTTTTTAGTGTATTCATAGAGACTATTCTAGCTGTGAATGTAGCACCATATCTTCCTCTAGAAGTAGTAAGTAGAAAGTGGACAACCCTTCCTCCATTACTCATGGAGTTTCTTTTTGCTTTGGCAATCCTCCCCCGCCCCCCCCCCCCCCACTCCCTGTATCCCTATGTTCTTAAGATTTTTGAAGTCACAGACAATAAAAATCTAATAAATGTCTTTGCCTACAAATGCACAAACTCAGTATTTGACATATAATTGTAGGGTGTTTGTAGAATCCTTAAAGCTCATTCTTGGACTCTAGCTTAAGAATTAGTCTCTTCTGACATTTTTATGTTAAAGAAGTGGTTGACCAGTTATGGATCACAAACCAAATCCAGCTTGATATAAAGCTTTTTTTTTTGAATACATGTATACCCACCTATTTGCATAGTGTCTATGGATACCCACAAGGTAATTAAGATGGAACTGCCAGGCTCACAACACAAAGCTTAAAATATTTACTGTCTGACCCTTTACAGTAACAGGTTTTCTGACCCTGGCTGTAGAGCTTCTGACTTCCATTATCCTTGCCCTCTTTAACCTCAGCTCACGAGATAGTATAAAACTAGAGGCTCTGAAGAATATTGAAGTTTTACCTGGGAAGTTCTTACAAGATTAAAGTTTTGTTTTTCTGAGTATGCTGTGGGTATACAGGAATTCTGTTTATTAACTTGTTATGTATTTTTCACCTAGATCCTGTCCCTGGAGGCTGTAATTTAGAGTTTGACTTAGATATTGATCCTAACATTTACTTAGAGTATAATTTCTTTGAAACAATCATCAAATTTGCCCCAGCAAACCTAGGCTATGCAAGGTATGTCTGTCTCCCACATCCTGAACTGCTTTTAGATCATGTGTGAATAACTGTTATGTAGGTTCAGGGAACTCTCAAAATCTATAGGTTTCTCTAATAAGCTTAAATTGGTTTAATTTTTGGTGGTTGTTTTGAATTGTATAATCTAAACATTGTTATTAATATTTGTGTTCTCTGAATTACTATTTTGCATCCCCATTCTCACAAACTCCTTTTTTGAATAGCCAGATGCCAACTCTCTTTTTGAGCTTGGAAGTATAGCTTAATATTTGTAAATAATTTTATGTATACAAAGCATTCTGCAGCCCAGAAGCACTTTCATATTTTTATACGAGTTTTAGTCTTTTAATGAAACTCTGCCTCAGTGTTTAATATTAATGACAGTTAACATCTGCTAACCAAAAGGTTGAAGGTTCAAGCCTACTCATAGACACACGAGAAGAGTGATTTTGAGATCTACTTCTGAAAAACCAGTCATTGAAATCCTATGGGACATAGTTCCACTCTGATCTAAATGGCATCACCAGGAGTCAGAGTTGATTTGACACCATTCATGGTGCTGAATGCTATCGATTCCTTTCCATTTAAGCCTAATAATTTTATGAAGAAAGCCAATTGTTCTTGTTTTCCAGAAAAGTTTCCTGATGTTTATTATGGTTAAGTGACTTGTTCATGTGCATATTGTTGTTGTTGTATGCCGCTGAGTGGGTTCTGACTCATAGTGACCCTATATAGAGTTTCTGAGAGTGGCTGTTGGATTTCAGCTGCCAGCCTTGTGGTTACCAGTACAGTGCTTGTCCTATTGTACTACACCAGGGCTTGTCACATGCATATCTCTAACATGGCAAGGCTGGCCTTCGTCTCTAGGCCCGACTGAATCTAGAATCTGAACATTTAACCACACTGCCCATCAGTGTGTTACTATTCTTCAAAATACCAGTGATTGCCCCTGCAAAAGGAGATCTGTTAAATTGAGATTGTTGTAAGAGTTTGGTTTTAAAGCTTTGGTTCCTTTTTATGCAGCATAGAGATTGATGTTTAGGTTTTGTTGTTTGACTTTAGAGACACAGACCCTCCACCCTGTGATGTTGGCACTGGCCAGGACTCTAGGTGGAGGTTGCAGTATGATGTCTATCAGTATTTTCTGCCCGAGAATGACCTCACTGAGCAGGTATTGCTGAAGCATCTGCAGAGGATGGTCAAAGTACCTCAGGTGCAGGCCAATGCTATCAAGGTAAATCTATTTCTCATGATTTGAGCGGCTGTATTCTGGCATCTTTGTAAGATGGGAAGGGGAAAACCTAACCAGAAGGTTATTTGGTTGTTTGAGGGTTTTTTAGGATTCTTGCTGGCTTTATTATTTTATTCTCTATTATTTCTTTGTCATCTTGGGAGTCTGTGCTAGTGATATCCTAAAACGGTATTGGCTGTTGAGGAGATGCATTTAAATTAAGATCTAGTTATAGAAACATGTATGCGTTAGTATTCTTGAGATTTAGCAGGAAATGGGTGCACTCATGCTGTCTTGCATTGCATACTCCATCAATGTCAGAGAAAATTTTTGGCAGGTCTAAGAAATATAGCATTTTGAGAAAAAGTTAATGAGAAACAGTTTAAGACTATGCACATTAGCTTTGCATTTGAACCCAAATTCAAAGACTCTAACTTGGAGCAAAAACATTCTCTGAGCTTTTAAGCCTTTCAACTGTTGCTACTCTGAAATGTGACCACAACCAACAGTATTGGCATCACCTGGTGGGTTGTTAGACCTGCAGACTCTTAGGCTCTTCCCTAGACCTACGTAATCAGAATGTGTTTTCTTAAAAGACTCTCAGATGATTTATGTTTACATTAAAATTTGAGACTCACTGCTATAGATCTCTTTTGTGGAGGTCAGGATTTTTATCTTTACACCTTGGAAGTCTCTGGTAACTGTATAATATGCGAGGCTCTGCATCACTTTAATAGTTGATGGGTGGAATTCTTCTAGTCTGCTCTGAGTCTTCTTGAAAGGTTAATAGACAATGTGATTATGTAGAAAGTGACAGAGACAGGGACACTGTCTATTGGAGACCAAGATCTCATTCTGTTGTGGGATCTCCAGGAATGGTAGTACTCCGTTGTAATGCAGACATGTTTTTTGCTGACAATTCTTGCTGGTTCTCATTAGTTTCTAGATGAGAGTTGAGTTTAATTTCTTTCTGAAAAACTCAGCATAAAAAAGAACTTATTTACTTATAAATTGAGATGTTCTGTTGGTAGTTTATCACTTGCCCTTGTTTTGTTTTTTTTTTTAATGTTTTATTGTGTTTGGGGTCAGTGTTTGCTCAGTGAATTAGTTTCCCATTCAGCAGTTTTTACAGTTTTTTCTGCGTCATTGGTTGCCATTCCTGCCATGAGTCAGCACGCTCCTTATTTCTACCCTGCCTTCTCCATTTCCATCCCTTCGGTTTTCCTGCCCCTCCTTCCTTACCTTCTCAACTTTGCTTCTGGGCAGATGTTGCCTCTGTGGTCTCATACAGTTAATTGTTGTAAGAAGCACATTCCTCATGAGTATCATGATTTTATAGGCCAATCTGTAATTTTGCTGACAGGTGATTTCTGGGAGTGGCATCAGTCATAGGATAAAAGAGTATCTTAGGGGGTTCCTCCAGGCTCTCTCAGTCTAGTAAGCCTGATCTTTTTTATGAATTTGAGTCCTGTTCTACATTTTTCTCTCATTCTAACTGGGGCTTTTATTATGTCCCTAGTCAGAGCAGTCAGGAGTGGCAGCTGGGTGCCATCTAGTTCTCTTGGTGTCAAGCTAGATGAGTTTGTAGTTCCTGTGGCCAATTAGCCCTGTGGAGTAATTGCTTCCTTGAGTCTTTGGTTTGCTCCAGGCAGGAAGAGACCAATAGTTGTATCTTACATGGCTATTTGTCAGCTTTTAAGACCCCCGATGCTACTTACCAAACTAGGATGTAGAACATTCTCTTTATGAACTATGCTGTGCCCATTGGCCTAAATGCTCCTCCCTCCACACCACCCCCCATAAACCATGGTCCTTAGCCTTCAAGCCCAGTAACTCAGTTCAGTGAGGTGGTTGAATATGCTTAATAAGTTTCCATAACTGCAACTTCTATGTGCTCTTTTATATATATGAATAGATATTGAGCACATACAAATATGTATATACAAATACCCACAACTATACCTATATATAAGGAGCTCTGGTAGTGTAGTGGTTTCGTGTCGGGTTGCTAACCTCAACATCAGCAGTTTGGAATTACCTTGGGAGTTCCTTGGGAGAAAGATGAGGCTTTCTGCTCCTGTAAAGATTTACAGCCTCAGAAAGCCTATGCAGGGTCGCTATGAGTCAGAACCGACCCCAGGGTACGTCATCAACATATCCATGTATGCACATGTATATACTCCCATGAAAGATGAGGCTTTCTGCTCCTGTAAAGATTTACAGCCTTGGAAACCCTGTACAGGGTCGCTATGAGTCAGAACCGACTCCACGGCACATAACCACTACCACCACCATATACTCCCATACCTATATAGCAAAAATATATATCTGTGTAAGCACTCACAGATTCTGGGTTGTTATTGTTGTTGCAGAATGGTGTGTATGTTGTAGCATTTACTGTTGTTGTAGTTAAGTGCCATTGAGTTAGTTCCGACTCATAGCGATCATGTATAGGGTTTCCACTGACCTTATTCTTGGGTATTTCTCAGTGTCTTCCTTTACCTTGGTCATGTTATGCTAACTTCCCCCATATACTGTATTTCTTTTCCCTGCATTAGAACTAACACATGTCTGCTATCTAGTACCCCGTATGTCTGACAGTTTGTTGTACTGTGGTGGCTTACGTGTTGCATTGATGTTGAAAGCTACGCCAACTGTTCAAACCTCAAGATGAGGCTGTCTGCTCCGTAAGATGTACAGTCTCAGAAACCTTAATACAGGGTTGAGTCAAAATCTGCTATAAGTTACAGTCAACATGATGGCAGTGAGTTTTAGTAGTAGCTAATAACCATGGAAAACTACCTTTAGAATCAAGTGATCTGACAGTATTCATCTTAACTGAGTCATCCAAGTTCACTTAACTGATACAATGGATCAGTATGTATTACCTGCTTATTGTGTAATGCAATATGAATAATAACCACTGTCACCTATGGAGTTTTTTTACAAAAAATGTTTGACCTGAATTCAGTCCGTTGGAGTTCCTTTATATAAATACAGGTGATAAAGGAACAGGTTAGACACTTTGAATACAATTTAAAAACACTTTTCAATCATGGAATATTCTGTAAGACATCTGACTTACTCTTTTAAAAGTCATTGTGTTGCTTGTGGGTAGGTAGAAGAGGGTGATGGGAAATTCTGTTTCAGATTAACAGAGACTGAAGATAAACAGCAAGCATGAAACTCGGTTAGCTCTTGGTTAAGAACATGCTTAAAAACTTATAACAAGACACTCGGGAAAATTTGAATATGAACTGCAAAGTAAATAGATAATAAGAAATCACTGTTAACTTTCTTACATAAGCCAAGGCATTGTGTTATATATATTGTTGTTGTTGTTAAGTGCCGTCGAGTCGGTTCTGACCCATAGCGACCCTGTACAGGGTTTCCGAGGGTGTAAATTCTTTACAGGAGTAGAAAGCCTGATCTTTCTCTCGCGGAGCAGCGGTAGTTTCGAACCGCTGACCTTAAGGTTCGCAGCCCGATTCGTAACCACTATGCTACCAGAGTTCCTTGTGTTATATATTAGAATATCATTATATTAGAATATCATTATATTTAGTATGGAGCCCTGGTGTGGCACTGTGAGTTAATGCATTAGACTGCAAAGTCGGTTTGAACTACAAGGTCAGCAGCAGTTCAAGTTCACCAGCCACTCCTCGGGTTGCTGTAGGTTGGAACTGATGTGATGGCACACAACAACAAATATTTAGTATGTGCTACTCAAAGTGTGGGGAATCGTGGTGTGGTGCTATAGGATAAGCAATGGACTGCTCACTGCAAGGTAGATCATTCAAGCCCACCTGCTGCTCCTTGGAAATCCTATGTTGTTGTTAAGTGCTGTCAAGTTGTTTCCAACTCATAGCAACCCTTTATAAGGTTTCCGAGGAGCAGCTGGTGAGTTCGAATTGCCAACCTTGCAGTTGAAACAGACCTTGAGGTCTAGTGCTTATCCTACAGCGCCGCACCAAGACTCCACTTGGAAACCTTATACAGGGTCGCTGTGAGTTGGAACTGACTTGACAGCACATAACACCACCACCCAAAGTGTGGTAGTGGGTGAATAGCATTGGCATTATCTGGGAATTTGTTATAAAAGCAGAATTTCAGGTATTATATCTAACCTACAAAATCAAAGTCTGCGTTTTAACAAGATCTCCCAGTAACTCACAGGCACATTAAATTTGACCAACACTGTTTTAGGACGTGCTCACTGAAGTATTTAAAAGTGAAATGCTATGATATTAATAACTTCAAAATGGTTCTGATGATTATTTTGGAACTGTGGCAGTCTCCTAGAAATTCTTGAATTTCTGATGGTTTATTTTCTCACTTAATATTAGTGGTGGTGGTGGTAGTAGTGTGCTGTGGAGTCAGTTCCAACTCAAAGCGACCCTGTACAGGGTTCCCGAGGCTCTAAATCTTTATGGGAGTAGATAACCTCATCTTTCCCTTGCAGAACAGCTGGTAGTTTTGAACTGCTGAGGTTTGCAGACCTATTCATAACCACTACACTACCAGAGCTCCTTACTTAATATTAGTACGAACTATGTATTATGGTTATATAAGCCATCTGTTTCCTTCTGTATATGTATTACCTATCTGAATAAAACCTTTAAATGGGAAGTTAAGGACTGCTATATAACACAAGCATATGTAATATTTTCTTATTTCAGAGACCATTAGAAAAAAATAGTGTATACTCTATTATAAAAAAAATAGGTTATACTCTGTTGGAGACGCTAGCAAACTGTCTGTATCAGTTCCATAGACAGTAAAAATGGCTAGCATTTATTGAATACTTCCTCTGTGCCAGGCATTGTGCTGTGCTGGGCAAAGAATAACGAACAAGATAAGCCTGGTTCTTGTCTTTATTCTGCTTCAAGGTAGCAGATGAGAAAACACATTTCTTTTCCTAACTAGCATTTCACCTTATATCCATCACATTGACTTACTAACATTTGACACTGTCCAAAAACTTTAGAAGCACTTGGTGTAAAAACGTGTTCGTATCAGAGCACACAAACTGTGTGGGATGGGTCTTTGAAAAAGCTCAATGTGTCAGTACATATTTTAAACAAGAAGTGTAATTAAACTACATGAAATTAAAACAGAATAGCTTTTTTGTTTTTAATCACTCATCTTGCATTATTTTTGGCTTTAGGTGGTTACCTTAACAGCTAATGATAAGACAAGTGTTTACTTCTCCTCTCTCCCGGTACAAGGTGTAATCTATAATGTCATTGTTTGGGACCCGCTTCTAAATACATCTGCTGCTTATGTTCCTGCTCACACATATGCTTGCAACTTCAATGCAATTGAGGGGAATTGTTCTTCTCTTGGTAAGTATACATATTTGAACTTGGATAAAAAATTTCTTGGCTTTCTAGATCTATAGCAACTAATAAAGAACTTAAAATATTTTAAAATGCTTTGATCTATTTTTCATTTATTCATTCAACAAATATCTTTCAGGCCTCAACATTATTTCATTCTCTTTTATATTTGCTGGTGATATAGCAGTGAACAAACCAGATAGCATATCTTCCCTCATAACAATTTTTATTGGGTTGGAAGACCTTGCCATTTTGGTGATTATACTCGTACTTGCTAGAAACTTCCACCAGATTTTCATTTGAAAAGAATTATTACAGTGAACTCCATATTTAGGATGTAAAGATTGAATCATTGAATGAACCCACCACAGGTCTGAAATAAGTAGAATAAGGAATTTTAATCTTGTGCCTAATCTTTCTTTTGGTCTCTTCATTGTCACAAGAGTCATGTATAGGTGTATGTGTATTATGGCTTACAAATGCTTGTCTTCTGAGTGTCTTATTTAAATGTATGCAGGAAATTTTAAAAAATTTGTGGAAAAATTCCATATCTTCTCATTGAATTTTTCAACAAATTTTTTGAAGCCCCCTCATGTGCCTTCATGGTATCTCCTTCTAAACTCTTTTAAGCCTTTTGACTTACTTTGATTTTTAGCAGGTTTCTTAACACTTTTCATGTGAGATTATACAGGTGCTTTTCCCTAAGGAGTTATAAAGGTGACAAATTAATGAGCAGGTTCTGCTCTTAGTATTTTTGAATAGTAATGCTACTTATTAGAAGCCCTGGTTCCGCAATAGGTAAGCAGTCCACTGCTAGCTGAATGTTTGGTGGTTTGACTGCTAGCTGCTCTGTGGTAGAAAGATGGGCAGTCTGCTTCTGTAAAGATTTACAGTATTAGAAACCCTAGGGGCAGTTGCTACCAGATTGCTGTGAGCTGGAATTGACGGGGCAGCAATGGGTTGATTTCCATGTTGGTTAATGTTATTATATTTAAGTTTGTGCCTATTGAAAGTCATGGAATTAGGAATTCTTTGGTAATATGAAGCATATAATTGTTGTGCTTTATTATTAGTTACAATGCAACTTTTCCCCTCAAGACAATACATATAATTGCTAAGATTGTAACATATTAAGTAATTTGTACCTGTGTGGTTTTATTACTGCATTATTTTAAAGCAAACCCCTAACATCATTTTACTCACATCAGTTTATTAGTTGTGTATCTTAAAGATAAGCTCTGTTTTTCCTCCTAGTGTAACCATAGTGATATTAACATACTTAACATATTGTGAAAATAACTCCTTAGCAGCTTCACATTTCCAGGCAGTAGGACTCTTCAGTGGTCTCAATAGTTTTTGACAGCTTACTTGTTTGAATCAGATTTCAGATCAGTTCACACACTGCATTTAGTTGGTATGTCTCATAAATCTTTTTGATTTTCTATCCACCTCTCACCCCCTCTTTATTTTCCTGGTAGTTTATTTATTGAAGAAACAGAATTATTTGACTTAGGTAGGTTGTCTTTCTCCCTGCCTCCTTCCTTCCTCTTTCCCCCTTTCTTCCCTACCCTCTCTCTGTGAGAATATATCTTAAGTCGTTTATTATACCTCTGTCAAAACCAAAACCAAATCCACTGCTGTGGAGACAGTTCCACAGCTTACCCTGAAGGATAAGCACTGGACTGCTAACCACAAGGCCAGTGGTTCAAACCAATCAGCTGCTCCTCGGAAACCCTTTATAGGGTCGAAATGACTTCACAGCACTTAACAAAAACAACATTAAGACAGAGTAGAACAGCTCCATAGGGTTTCTGAGGTTATAAATCTTTATAGAAGCAGATTGCCTCATCTTTCTCTCTAGGAGCAGCTGGTGCATTTGAACCAGTGACCTTTCATTAACAACTCAGCACTTAATCCACTGTGCCACAAGGGCTCCTTATATCTCTGTGAGAAAGCATTGCATTGTTTGGTTTCTCTTTTTTTTATAGTAGCAGTCATTGACATTCATTATGTAGATTCAGTTAATATTCATTAGTGGTGGCAAAGATATTTAAAAATACTTGTAACATATATGTGTGTGTGTGTCTGCATGTATGGAGTAAATCATTGTCAGTTTGCTTTTTCCCCCATGGAGCTATTATCAATTAATTAAATACAAAGCATCAAATTGTATGTTACCCACTAAATTTTAACTGTTTTTTTAGGAACAGTGTCTACCAAAGTGTTCTTCACTCTTTCTGCCTTGCTTGGTTTCTTCATTTGCTTCTTTGGACACAGATTCTGGAAAACAGGTATTATATCAAATGCAGTTACTGTGGTCTTTTTCTTTAACTCTGCTGGGGAATTTATGACCTGTAAGGAAAGTAAGCAGTTACTTATCTTCATTATCTTCATGGGTTTGTGGCTGGGGTTTTTTTTGTAAACATTTTGCTGAGTTCTACATTTAAATTTTTTATCTCATCTCTTGATGTAGTGCAGCTTCCTTTTATTAAAAGGGGAATAAAATTCCATAGGTACAGGAGACCTCTTCAATTGCTAGATCTGCTTGTGGACAAAAAATAGCTTAGATGAAACTTCAGAGTGGCACAGTAGAGATATGGGTTGATTTTGGTGATGGTGATTGATTTGGGTTCATAGACAGCAGACCATAGGACTGCGCTACACGAGTACAGTGAGACTGAAATGTCTTACTCGGTCCTGGCAGATTCACACACCAGGCTGGAACCCCAGAGTCCGTGTCAGTGAGCACAGTGCAGTATGAAAATCATGATCCTTGAGTTGATTCAAATGTTTTGGGTTGCCTTTTATGTAACTGATGTTTCAAGTTACTTAAACAGACTTTCATTTAATTAATCAATAGACTATAGGCTGTGTAACAGAGCATCAAGGGGAAAGTGAACAAAAT